GGGTGTGTCTGTAAGTCTTCACCTGGTCCTGGAGTGATTCACCACATGGGGAGGAGCTACCTATGGGCCCTGCTGGCGCAGAGCTTCTCACTGCAAGTCTGGGGTTTCCTCCCAGCCCTGGCCCTTGAACACGAGTTAGGTTCACACCCGAATTCTGCAGAGGTATGAACTCAACTTTACACATACCTGTGCACAACAGCCCTCAGGAAGGACAGAGGGAGGGAGGCAGGGGAAAAGAAGGGAGGGAAATTACAGAGAGAAAAAAATTCCCACAGAGAGACTCCAGGAGAGCAAACACAACTCAGAATGGCCTCAGAAAAGGCCTTTTCCCAGAATGTGTAAAGCACCTGGCTATCCTCAGAGCCCATCTTTGACCTTTCCCCAGAAAAGCTAAAGAAACAGGTAGTGCAAGAAGCCGGGAGCATGTCGATACAGAACATCTGGAAAGTATGACTCCAGAGCTTGGTTATGTAACGAGGCTGAATGCGGCATCGCGCTCTGTTTATATTCTTGCTGCCAGGATGATTGCAACACAGAGGGTGGCTGTCTCCAGTGAGGGCTTCGAGGCCACAGACACCCGCCCGGTAGAAAAGAAAAGTGACAGAGAGCAGTGAGGTCCCTCTTCAGGTAGCTCCAGTCCGTCCTGGAGCAGCAGGAGCCTTCCAGAGAACTGGCCTGGACGAGAAAGGGAAGAAATGGTTCTTAGGAAATCCCTGCCCTGAAATCTCCCTCCTCTTTTCTCAAGCTCTCACACACAGCCTTATTGGTTTTTATTTTATACACAATGTTTAACCAAGGAGAGAGAATTAATATTTACTGAGCATACACTCGGCTGGCCCTTTCCAAACTCCACTGTGCACATGAATCATCTGGGAACATTTGAAATTCACATGCAGATTCTGTGGGTCCAGGGGGACCCAAGCTTCTGGGTCACCAACAAGCCCCGAGCCACACAGATGCCTCTAACCTCACACTACACCCTGAGTAGCAAGAGGATAGAATATGGTGGGAAAACGTTAGAAGGGGCAGTGTGAAAGCCAGGGTCCAACTGTTCAGGAAACAAAAATATCAGTGAATAGATGCCAAGATGCCTAGATCGGGTCACTGGGAAGTGGATCCAGCACCCCCAGAAACAAGCAGGCCATGCTCATGCCCTGGGGCTGTCTCTGCATTGAACTTGGCTCTGTCAGGCCCTTGGGGTCGGCTGGACACTCCACGCTGTGCAGGGTCAGAACCTGGACAGGTCAGACATTGGAAGCACAGAGAGTGTGATGCTCTGCCCCCTGACCCAGCCCGATGGCCTGAATTGTTCCCAGGACACATGTCCATGGGGCAGAGGCGGAAAGCCCAGGTCTCCTGAGGGAAGATGTGGGGACGCACGGGATTTGGTTGGAATGTCTGTAAGGAGGATTCTCTGAAAGGTTGGGGGCCTCTGAGGAGACCTTGCCGAAGGCAGCAGCCCCTGCCTTGACTTTTCCAAACAAGTCCGATCCCCGGGGTGTATTCCTAGAATCTCTATGTTTAGTCTTTAAAGACTTGACCTTGTAGAAGCACATACTTTCTCAAGGATACTTGCCCTACTGATTGTATCTAGAGGTTAATTTGAGCTCAAGCTGTTGTTACAATAAAAAGCCAATGAGGCAGGCAAACAGGACTGTTTTTACTACTGAAGTAAAAGGGTCCCTTAGCCCTCTCTTTCACAGAAACCTGTGTCTATTATAAATAATCTGTTCATCCGTCGCTCAGGGTCTGCTGGTCAGCCCTGGCAGGAAGAATTCCCTTATCTTTACTTCCCTCAAATGATGACTCTGCACCCAGTTGTATATGGCTGAGAAACAAACAATATCTCAAATTAACCCACCAAATGGAGAAGAACACAGGAAGAAAAAAAATTAGGTCACTTTTTTAGGTCACTTCTCATGATGCTTAGGACTCAGCACCCTTCCAGAAAGCCCATGGGATGGCCTTAGCTTCTAATGTTGGCATATTGCTTTCTCTCCCAAATAGGAGATAAAAGGGGAGCTCCAGGCCAATGCTTCTCAAAGTTGAACCTGCATAGGGATCCCTGGGCGCCTGAGTCAGCAGGTGTGGTGGGGTATGCAATTCTGCATTTCTAACCAGCTCCCAGGAGATGTTGAAGCTGCTAGAGAATGTGCAAGCCACTTGGTTAGGCACTTAATCTGCACTAGTTGACTGAATGCCCTAAACCATGCTCTCGGGCTAGGCACAGTCTCCCCTTGACCGATGAAAAAGCCAGTCATCATGGTGAAGAAATGTGATCGAGTTCCACAGCTAGAAAAGGGGTGTCCGGATTTTAAGTTTGGTCAGCCTCGCACCAAAGCTCATGTTCTTTCCTCAACAAAATGATGGCTTCAGTTTATTATGAGAAAGGCCAACAACCCACATTCAGTGCACTCTGTGTCACAAGGCAGGAACCTCTAGAATTTAGAGAGATATCACTTAAAACTTACCACTTTTTTTTAAATGGTCTGCGTTTGAAGAGATGTTTCATTTATTGGATAGTTCATTCAACTACACATTCAGCAAGCACCTGCTGAGCTCTTAGATGTGCAAGGCACCATGCTAGCAGCAGCAGCCACTTGTGCAGAAAATACTTCTCGATGATGGCTGATAAGTGAGCTGCTCAGGACATAATACAGGCTTTCTAACAATAAACACACCCTACTGCAACCCAGTTTTGTATTTCCCTATCCCACGTTCCAAACGATACAGCTGATTTCAGACATTTTAATAAAAATCCAGTTCAATAAAGGTTTGCAAAGTGCATCAAGTACAAAAATCTGTCCTGATATCCCTCAACCAAGGTGTGATGGGACAGGGAACTTGGCCTGACCTAGCTCTCCAACATCTGTCTTTGGACGATACTGCTGATGCCACCTCCCTGTAGCTAGTAATCTGGGGACTGCTAGGTGAATTGGCAAGTCTGATTTCTGGACTCTTAAAATGCATAGGAATATAAAAGTGTCTTCAGTCTTTTGCAATTTCAAAATGAAGCCACTCCCCATCTAAGTAGTAGCCTTCCTTTTGCAAGGGCAATTTGAGAAATTCTTACAAGAACTTGTGGAGCTGAAGAAACAAAAAGTCAAGGTGTTGGTAACATCAGGGTTGACCAATATGCTTCTAAAGAGACTTGTTCAAAGCATTTCTTTGTTCATACATTAGAAAATGTCACAGTATGGAAATAAAATATGCTTCATATGATGCATCCTCAATTTAAACAATGACCAGATTGACAGAAGAAAAATATTAATAACCTGTGACTCATCTACCCTCACCTCCAGCTATTTATTCCCCAAGGTCTCTCTTTGTGTTCCTGTGGAAGGACCTCTGTGTCATACAGATATTAGGGTATCATAAATAAAGACTTCCACTTCCAAGACTTCATTGCTTCCATTAAAATCAGGCACAATAATGCAAGTATTTCTATGCTGAGTAAGCTGAAGTAAACCAGAACTTGCTTGGTCACCACAGATGTATGATTGGTTCAGAGGTTCCCAGGGCACTAAAGATGCACCTCTAAAATTTTAATGGATTTTCCACAGTGAGACCTTTCAGAAGGTCACAACCTGGTTTTGAAAACAGTTGGAATTGTATGTCTTCAATGAAAAGCATGAGCGCAACATAATTCATATCCACCTGGAGGGGCAAATCCCCACGTGTGTTTTAGACATTCTATTAATAGACTGGTAGGAACTCAATAAGAATTACCAGGAAAGGGTTTGATTACCCAATTGGGTTGGGAAACAAGGACTTAAACAAATTTAAATAGGTTTCTTCCTGCAGTTGTCAGAGGCTTTGATGTTGTATTATGTCTCTCCAGGTATATGATACTCTGTTTCCTAAACTCAGTGAATCATGGGACCCCTCCTCCCAGTTTTGTCTTACAAATCAGGCAGGATTGCTGCAAAGTGGCCTACTCCATGCCAAGGCTGTTCTAGGCACTGGAAGAGAGCAGGGAATGGTTAGGCCAAGATGGGGCAGTGGTCCCAGGGGGTCCTATCTTTTCTAACCTATGGAAGCTCTTCATCTACATGAAAGCAGATTTTTACATCTCCTTTTAACAATAAAACCATCTAGCCTACTAGGAGGTGCTCACTGATTGAGCATTTACTGTACAAGCAATAATATCAGTAAGTGTACTTACAAATACTATCTCATTTACTTTTTCTAATAACCCAGTGATGTAGTTCATGTCCCCATTTTGAGATGAAGGGACTAAAGTGTCCATCTAATGACTACCTGAAAGGCCATTACTAAATTCTGGTTTGCAGAATCCAGTCCCATGCCATTTCTACACCAAACTGTCTTTTGAATCATTCCCCACAATTTGTCCCCAAACCCCCAACTTTCCCCTTACTCCACCATCACCAAAACTCACCAGAGCTGAGAACAGCCAGAGCCTGAGGAAGGCTCAGAGACCTGGTCCTGGGAAGACCCAGTTGGCTCTCAAAGGAAAGGTCAGTAAAGGGGCAGCAGGAAACACCTCCCTCAGCACAAATGCTGTGTGACATGAGACCATTTTCAACCCACAGGCCATCCTGATGTACACATGCCAGGTGCAAACAGCCAGGCAAGGCCAAGGATGGAGGTCCAAGCAAGAGCAGCAGCCACACAAGTGAGGGCTTGGCCTCCACTCTCAGCATGTTGCATAACTGGATAAATCTTTACCCTCTCTGTGGTTCAGGTGCCTCGTTTATAAATACTCTGGCTACCCAGGCATAGTAAATGCTGAGAAAATAACCAAAAAGGTGAGAAACTGGAATACGATTGCGGAAACGGCTTTCAGAATTACACAAGAATGACCATCTTTCACATTTTCTCATGAAAGAAACAGTGTTTGCGACTTCCTAAGAAAAAGGGATATAGTAAAGGCTGAGTAACAGAACGCCAAAGATACCTACCCTGGGGGGGAAATACATATACAGTAGAACCTCAGTTCTCCAACTTAACTCATTCTGAAAGGCTGTTTGAAAACCAAGTTATTTCCCCTTAGAAGTAATGTAAATTGATTTAATCCATTCCAGACTCCCAAATGACCCCCTCTTTCAACCTTTCTTATATACAGTAACTGTCTAATGCACTGTTTAATCTATAAATAAACATTTTTAAAAACAAAAAGGACATGAAAATTTAATAAAAGAAAATAAAATGTACAGGTGAAAAATGAAAATGTAACAATAAACAGCAACAAAACACACAAATATGTTCACAACACTTTCCTGGGATGTTAACAGCATGAGGGTGAGTGGTAAACTGACTCATACTTGTGCATTCTCTCCTTTGTCACCTGACAGGTGACTGACTGATCATACAGGTATCAGCATGAAAGGGTTCTTGGGTGGAGAGGCGAATTGTTTGAGATGGGAGATGCTCAAGAACCAAGGTTTGATTGTATGTATATCATTGGAGAGAAAAGAAAGGTGACATCCAAGATCCTCCCTCCCGGGATTTTATTCCAGGGATATGACAGCCACAGGAGGGGTCATTTATGGAGAGCAGCTCCCATCCCACACAGGTCTCCTGTGAGCAGGCCCAACAGGAAGAGTTAAATTTAGAAGCACAACTGTCACATTGCATTCAAGAAGGAAAGAGAAAAAGAACTCGTCGAGTCTTATCATTCAAACAGGGCCAACATACTCGGGCCCACGTTTTCAGGGCGGGATTACCGAAGAAGCCAGGCACTGAGGATGCCCAAGAATGTGAAAGATGTGAAAGATGGTCATTCTGAAAATGTGAAAGATGGTCATTCTTGTGTAATTCTGAAAGCCGTTTCCGCAATCGAATTCCAGTTTCTCACCTTTTTGGTTATTTTCTCAGCATTTACTATGCCTGGGTAGCCAGAGTATTTATAAACGAGGCACCTGAACCACTGCCCTCTCCTTCACAGTCCTACCCTCTCCAAAACACGCTTCCTGGCTTCTGTTGGCAATGAGCATTATCTCCCTAAGCTTTTCTAATTTTTTCCTGTGAAAAAAGGTTTGGCCAATGGCTTTTAGTGGAGGGATTTTCATATCCATGCTTTTTGAAGAAGAAAGAGAAGATGACACTTGAGGCCATGATGTCCCTGCCTAGCTGACTGCTAGCCTCACCATGGGGCATGGGATCAACCCGACCATTCAGGTGGTGGGAAATAGAAGGGAAACAATGAGAGGGAAAACTTTAAAAAAAAAAAAAAGAAAAGGTTTTTGTTTATTCTATCACAAAACGTCTGTGGCAGCAGACCGGGAGTGGTGAGTATTTCTGATCCTCCTCATCTTGACCCTGAGGAGGAACACCCAAAGAAACCTGAACTTGGGTGAATTTAAGAGCTGAATCATCAGAGCTGCCATTCATTAAGCTCTGCTTGGTTCCAGGAACAGGGTTACACTCATGGTGCATGCTATTAATTGGTCAAGGACCATCAACCTTTTTCATCTCATGGCACACACAAACCAACTACTAAACTTCTGCAGCTCACCAAAAAGTACATTTTATATTTTGCCAATCTGACAAAAAAAAAAAAAAAAAGTACAATTTTAATTCATTCACACCTGATGGCTATTGTGGTTTTGTCTGTTGTCATCTTTTTCTTTGACAACCTTAGGGAAAAGAGGTCAGTGTCCCTGACTTAAACAGTCAGGTACTGCACATTTTTAAAATTCTTGCTGCACATGGCTTGAAAAATCACTGATTTAAATAATTATCCTAACTACAGCTAACAATCACTGAGCACGGATTTTACAGCAGCTATCCTGATAAGCATGTGCAAGGAGGCGAAGCCAGGGCTTATGGAGCCTAAGCTTATCCACTGGGGGGTCCCTATCCATGAAAAAGCAGACCAAACACAAATACAAATTAGAGGTCGTGGAAGGCCCTTGCCAGTGTGCAGCCCTGAGGCCACACTCCCCTCAACCTGTCCCAGAGTGAGGCTGGCGTCCATACCATCTGCTGTGAGATGAGGAAGCTGAAGCTCAGAAGTTGTCAACTGCCCGGGGGCCTCTCCATAGCAAGTAAGAGAGCCAGGTGGCTTCAAGGCCACCGAGCATCTCCTGAGAAGGGAAAAGAAGGTCTTTATTATCTCTGAAACTTGATAATTTTTTTGTAAAAATTGCTTAGTGTTTCCCAAGCCCAAATGTTTAAAGAGACATAAGGAAAGAATGATTAGTCTCTCTTTAAAAAATGTCTTTGATTTTAGAGAGAGAAGAAGAGAAAGGGATAGAGAGCAAGAAACATCCATCGATGAGAGAGTATCGTTGAACGGCTGCCCCCTGCATGCCCGATACAGGGGATCAAGTCTGAAACCTGGGTGTATGCCCTGACCGGGAATCCAACTGGTGACCTCTTGGTTCATGGGTCAACACTCAACCCCTGAGCCACAGTGGCTGGGTGATTTGTTTCTTTTTATGGAAACTGGTTTTAAAACCTGCTTTTCAATGACACTATATTGACTTGAAATGAAAAATAAAAGTTTAATTTCCAAGACAGAAGTCTCCCTTGAGTTAGGAGATTTTTCAGGCCAGCTTTTCAGTAGTTATAACATTTATCCTTGTCTTGTTTGCCCGGGAAGCCAAGAGCGAGTGGTCAGCTATACCGCAGATGCCTCAGTAACAATGCTGTTCACACCTCATGCTGACCACAGAGACAAGCCCAGGTGTCAGGAATAACCCTTCATCACATACAGGTCTTTTCCTTGATGTCCTTTGGCACTCTTATCTAAAAGTGGTAATTTCCCTAATGAAGCTTTTAAAAGATTAAGCCCACCAATGTGTCCTCCAACTTACCATCTCCTCTCCTGAAGGGAGAGGACTGTGATGCAATGAGAAAGACTGTTGCCCAAGACAGAAGATATGGGCTCCTTCTCTGACAACCTAGATGGGTCATTTCACTGCTGGCTCTAAGTTCCCGGGCCTGAATATTAAGGGTGACACAAAGATGGTTTGCCTACAGCAGAAAGTTGAAAACAACCCACAAAGGTATGATGAGGGAATAGATAAATAAAACGCAATGGAGTCTTACAATGAAAAACAAGGCAGCAGTTGCGATGAAGGAACTAGTGTATTCACATCCAATTCAGGAATATAAGTGGAAAAAATTACAGGATATTAATATAGTAAAATAGCACTTCTGTAAATTTGAAAACACACCTAACATTATTATTATGCAAATGCATGAGACAAAAAGATAAAACAGGAGCCAGATATCCCCACCATAAGAATACTGGTTGCTTCTGAAGGTAGAAGACCCAATGAGGCAAATAAAAAAAGATGTCAACTTGATCTGCAATGCTTTATTTTTTATAAAGTGAAAAAGATTAGAAGCAAATAAAAAGTTAACGCTAATGAATTCTGAGAGTAAATACACTGGAGTTTGTTGTTTTCCCATGTAGTTTTCTATTACTTCAAAATAAATTGTATTTTAAAAAAAGAAACCTGGTAGGATTCATTCATTCAATCATTCATTGAACAAAGATTTAACATCAGTAACTAAGATGCAACTACCATTTTCCAAGTGTTACAGTATCTACATCCTAGGGATATAATACTGAGCAAAACCCTGTGTGTGCCTGCCCACACAGGGTTTATCACCTAGAGGCAAAGACCAAGCCTTATGAAAATCAGGCATCAAATTCATATTCTTGCCTGCAGTTCAGCCTAAGTAGGAGCGAGGTGCTGGGAAGAGGCACTTAGGTGTGGCTGTTTTTGTTGTGTTTTTTTTTAAATATATTTTATTGATTTTTTACAGAGAGGAAGGGAGAGGGATAGACAGCTAGAAACATCGATGAGAGAAAAACATCGACCAGCTGTCTCTTGCACACCCCCTACTGGAAATGTGCCCGCAACCAATGTACATGCCCTTGACCAGAATCGAACCGGGACCTTTCAGTCCGCAGACCAATGCTGTCTATCCACTGAGCCAAACTGGTTTTGGCAGCTGTGGTTGTTTTAACTCCAGTTCTGCCTCCCTCCCTGGGTGCTCAAGGACTGTCTGACTCTTGAACATGTTTGGAGAATTAAGGCGACAATACAGGTCAAGCACTTAGCCCAGTCCCGACTCCAAGAAGACATTTGACAAACGCCCTATCCCTTCACAGTGTCCCTAGGAAAAACACCTATAGATTTAAGTCCTTCCTCAGAAATCTTGGGTTTGCATCTGAAATAAGTATATCTAACAGCTGAACATGGGTTGAATCAGGTCTAATTATTTCACGTGTTGTCCAAACAATATCAGGAGGCTGGTTTTTAAGAGTTGAACAAGAGATTAACATTGAGCCCAGAAGGTAACCAGGGTGGTGAGGGGGTCTCAAAACCATGTCATATGGAGTGGGGGTGGGAAGCTGAGAAACTGAAGACAGGGAAGCCTGACCAAGGAAGACCTTACAAACTGACCTTAAAAATAATATGCCATGCAGGGGAGGGGGGGCTTATTTTACGGAACTCAGAATAACTAAAAGGCAGATTACTTTGGTTCAGTACAAAAAAAGACAACTTTAATAATCCCAGCTGCCTAGGGAATAAAAGGCCTCTAAAAGGAGGCAGGAAGAGAGTCTGTCACCAAGGCTATACAGGATATGACAGAGGACACTTTCAGGTGATGCTGTAAAGGGAACTTGGGTATTAAATAGGCTGCTGGGTCACATCATTCTGCGCGGTATCTGAGTGTTGAGAGTATGAGACTCTAAATTACCGTCTTCAGAGAAGATAAAACAGACACATAAGTGTCTGGACCCAGTAATTGCTTATTAATCCCTTACCAGTACCTTCCATTTTTTGCAACAACTTTGCAGATTTCAAAGTTCTCTCCCAGGCATTTTCACATTTCTCCCCAAGACAGTGAAGAAGTGGTGGAGCCACGCCTGGGCTGAAGGAAGAGGGGTGCACGAAACGACATTAAAGAAGAGACCCCTGGCACAGGGACCTGGGGACCGAAGCACTGGAAAGGATAGGAGAGCCGCCCCGCTTTGCACCCCACAGCCAGCTACTTCCTCGGGCTGAGGCCAGATTTTAGACGTTATGACAAAAAAGCAAGTTAGGTGTGCAGAGTCAGCCATAGAAGCCAAGTGCATGGGAACCACCTGGAGGGTTGCTTCCCACAGCTGCCGCCACCGCTGTGATTCTGAGTTGAGAAAG